GGCAAATCCTTTAAATATGAAAACGTACTTACAGGCTGTGAGTCAGCATTATTTGTCAGAACACTGGCATTGTAGTCTACTCTCCCAGGAAACAGTCCTTGTCCTCCGTAAAATGCGCTGCACATATCTGAATATTTTGGTTGAACTGTTCTGGAACAATGTTGTAAATACAACTTAACCACTGATTTCTAGTTGTGTCCCCTTTTGGAAGGCCAAACAAAGTAGTTTCACTTTCATAACGAAACAGACAGCATCTCCACGACATGGCGTCGGCGGCATCTATACTACAGGGAGAATCAAAGTTACACCTTCTTTCTTTGCGTGAACATTTGGGTAGTGTTATGCAAATCTTCCCACACAGTGGCGTAGACATGTGGGGGCGTGTTTAAACGAGGCGTTTTAGGAGGCCGTGGATGAGTCTTAACTTTTATAAAGAATATCTCTTTGGGTTTGAGACTTAAGTCTTTGCAATTTTAGGGATCTTATCTATTCACGAACAGCTTGTAACACTCCAAAGAGAAAGGGAAACTTGAAATCGCATCATATAACCCCTTTAAAGGTACATATTAGTATGGTACATAATTGCACCTTTTGAAAAGGTACCGCCCCAGTGACAGCTATTGTACCTTTTGTACTTTTTTTTCCCCCTGAAAGTGCAGTTTAATACCTTAGGCTCAGTAACATAAGCACGCAGTAACAAAAGCACGCAGTAACAAAAGCACCTCCAGTATTGGTAGGTTTAGGAGTAGGTGGGGGAGGGGTTAGGATTAGGTAATCAGGTAGCGATTTAAAACGAGGGGGTGCATAATCTGGCAGGGGTGCAGAATTCGGCATAACACAGCAAGTTAACAATTAATAAAATTTTCTACATATTAGATTTGTTAACGTCAATACCTACCCTAAACCTACCCCAATGAATAATGCAAATACAGTAATTATTGTTGTTCAGCGTGACAAAAATTATGCTATTGATGTGTGCATGCCCAGTAGCCGCAGCTGTATCCCTTCTAGCCACAACTGGGTTACATCTGACCCAGGCGTAACACAAAAATCACCCAAACACTAAACCCTTCCCTCTGTTTGTCAATCTGCTATAGTTGGTCACATTCCTGAACTAGATGGAAAAAAGGTTTATGAGATTGTTCGACCAATCAGATTACATGCACTACAAAAAAGAGATTTAAAGGTGAGTTCTCATCTACCCACCTCTAAATTTCATTTGTAAATATTTTAATCAAACTAAATCATTTCTTTCCTTGCAGTCAAGACCTGACACAGTGAAATACGCTATGAAACTAGGCGGTAGAGACATTGAAATGCATCTCCAGAAAAATAAGTAAGCTTGTCTCTCAGTTACTCCTTTGTCATAATTTGTGTGTGTGTGTGTGTGTGTGTGTGTGTGTATCTTGTGATATTTAAAATCTGCACGTTGCAATTTAGAAAAGTTCCTCATTGTCATAGACAAACATCTGTGCGTATTAAAACTGCAGTTCCCACATTACACATTTTGATTTGTCAATTTTTTTGTGACTGATCTGAGAAATGTGTGTTGGTCAACAGTGGCATACTGACTAAAGACTATAGTGAAACTTACTACACTAAAGATGGGATGCTTGTCACAACCACACCTGAGGATCTGGTATGCTACAACTAGTATTACTAACATATGACATATATAACATACTGTTACAAGCTACAAGTTAATCAACTATAAATCATTATTGTGATATGATTCATAAAGTGAGAAATGTATTTAATACCCTTTTCTTCCACAGGATTTATGCTATTATCATGGGAAAATAGTCAATGACAGTAAGTCGTCGGTTAGCATGAGCACCTGCGATGGATTACGGTAGGGAAACACAATTTTAAGAGGTTTCTTTTGAACTTTTACAATGACATATTAAGTTGCTTTAACAAAAGTACACATAACATCTTTAAACAGTTTGTTTAAAATATTGAAAGTTATTACATTTTTTCACCCCAATCTCTACTGCTGTTTTTACACTAACTACTGCTACATACTGCAATGCCAGTTTGTTGCCTAAAGTGTGTTCTACGCTTTTCTGCAATTAAAGGAAGTTACAGTGTGACACAGTGTGACATGTGTTTTCTACTTAGATAAATGAGACGCATAAATTACACATGGTTTCCCAATCACCCTTGATTAGGGTGTACTCACACTAGGCACACTAGTTGCCTTGAACCGAGCCCGAGCGCGATTATCCCCCCTCCCCACTCCCCCACTGGCCTGCACTCACACTTGCACTAAACATTCCGGGTCAGAGCACGCTTACGTCATGTATGAGATAACGGAGAAAACCACTTTCGCTAATATTCTGCCGAATAATTAATAATGATTCATTTATAATTTATGCCGTGCATTGATTTTCACTTGTATGTATCAGAAAATTATTACGGAGGCAGCTGACGTTAATGAAATAATTTGCAGCTTTACTCGCAAACTACATTTCCTGTTCATCAATAAGGTAAGAACCAGACCCATTATAAACCTAAATATACTTGATTCAATTAAATTAATTGAAAAGTGTAGTGTAGTAGTAGTAATAGAATATGTTTGCGGTCATAATGATGATATAGCGCACACAAAATAGTATCTGTTCCGTGCTCCGGCGCGGTTAGCGCTCATACTGCATGCGTACCGCGCCCGAGCCAAACCGAACCGTGCCCTACCCGAGCGCGGCACGGAGCACTCACACTATGACTAAGCCAACGAACCGGGCTTTGGGGGTCAAACGCGCTCGGGCACGGTTCAAAATGCCTAGTGTGATACCAATTGCCTTTATTTCTCTGTAAGGGCAGAGAAGAGAGGGCAAAAGACCCTACAAATGACATTGTGCCCATTTTGTGAAATGTCTTCACAGAGGCTATTTCCAAACAGAGGAGCAGAGGTTTCTGATTGAGCCGTTGTCTCAGGATGGTGATGGTGACCATGCTGTCTCTAAGTATGAAGATGTAAATGAAGAGACGCCTAGGGTGTGTGGAGTCACCAACACTAGTTGGGACGAGAGTGAGGAAGGCGCTCCTCCACGCATTCTCAAAAGTCGTTCTCGTTCCTCAGTAAGATTGTCTATTCATTTACTTTAGCATTACAAAAAGCAGCAAAGCACAATATGGTTAAAGTTTCACAAGAATTAACCACATTCAGGCTGAGTTGTCGTAAAGTTTCATTTGTTGTTCTGCAATGTTAAGGCGACAATCACAATAAATTGCAGAAGTCAAAAGTGCAAAAAAAATGTCCCAGATTAACCTAATCCTGTACATGTTGTAAAGTAGGGTAGTTCATATTGTTTTCAACATGATTTCACTGAAGAATTATTCTGTTGTCAGTTCTGTAATTTCAATATATTTCTTTCCTCTTGATCAGGGGCCAACTTTTTTCCAGCAACAAAAATACATTGAGTTCTTCCTTGTGGCAGACAACAGAGAAGTAAGAACGGGAATCAATGCACAACCCCTTAACTGTCACCGTCCCGCCAATGGGACGCATAAGTGTACTTCAGTATATTACAATTAAATGCTACTCTAGTGCACCACAAAACATATAGATCATAACAGGAGTTCTGACCTTTGTCACAAAAATTCTTTTTCGTTTCCTTTTTCCCTATAACATGTTTTAGTACTCATCATAAATTATATATCATTTTAAACCATTTTGAAATCGGACATTGCATTACCATGGAAATGGTACTTTGAATTTTTTTAGCGGTCTCCTCCCCCTTAGTGGGAGGAGTCATATTACAAAATGTATTACGGTCTTTTAGAATCAAAACTTTTTATAATCTTGACAAAATACATATCGTTGGAAAGATCTGAGTCACAAGATTCCATATTTGGTGGTTATTTTGTGATAGAAGTAATATTGAGAGAGAAATTTAAACATTTGTGACAGAAAAATTCATCCCAAAAAATTAAATGGAATTTGGGTGTCACCCAGTGGCTATTTTTGGTATAACGCCTAAACAAAATTGCATAGTAATCTCAATTTTTTTTATATGCTCGGGCACGGTTCAAAATGCCTAGTGTGATACCAATTGCCTTTATTTCTCTGTAAGGGCAGAGAAGAGAGGGCAAAAGACCCTACAAATGACATTGTGCCCATTTTGTGAAATGTCTTCACAGAGGCTATTTCCAAACAGAGGAGCAGAGGTTTCTGATTGAGCCGTTGTCTCAGGATGGTGATGGTGACCATGCTGTCTCTAAGTATGAAGATGTAAATGAAGAGACGCCTAGGGTGTGTGGAGTCACCAACACTAGTTGGGACGAGAGTGAGGAAGGCGCTCCTCCACGCATTCTCAAAAGTCGTTCTCGTTCCTCAGTAAGATTGTCTATTCATTTACTTTAGCATTACAAAAAGCAGCAAAGCACAATATGGTTAAAGTTTCACAAGAATTAACCACATTCAGGCTGAGTTGTCGTAAAGTTTCATTTGTTGTTCTGCAATGTTAAGGCGACAATCACAATAAATTGCAGAAGTCAAAAGTGCAAAAAAAATGTCCCAGATTAACCTAATCCTGTACATGTTGTAAAGTAGGGTAGTTCATATTGTTTTCAACATGATTTCACTGAAGAATTATTCTGTTGTCAGTTCTGTAATTTCAATATATTTCTTTCCTCTTGATCAGGGGCCAACTTTTTTCCAGCAACAAAAATACATTGAGTTCTTCCTTGTGGCAGACAACAGAGAAGTAAGAACGGGAATCAATGCACAACCCCTTAACTGTCACCGTCCCGCCAATGGGACGCATAAGTGTACTTCAGTATATTACAATTAAATGCTACTCTAGTGCACCACAAAACATATAGATCATAACAGGAGTTCTGACCTTTGTCACAAAAATTATTTTTCGTTTCCTTTTTCCCTATAACATGTTTTAGTACTCATCATAAATTATATATCATTTTAAACCATTTTGAAATCGGACATTGCATTACCATGGAAATGGTACTTTGAATTTTTTTAGCGGTCTCCTCCCCCTTAGTGGGAGGAGTCATATTACAAAATGTATTACGGTCTTTTAGAATCAAAACTTTTTATAATCTTGACAAAATACATATCGTTGGAAAGATCTGAGTCACAAGATTCCATATTTGGTGGTTATTTTGTGATAGAAGTAATATTGAGAGAGAAATTTAAACATTTGTGACAGAAAAATTCATCCCAAAAAATTAAATGGAATTTGGGTGTCACCCAGTGGCTATTTTTGGTATAACGCCTAAACAAAATTGCATAGTAATCTCAATTTTTTTTATATCAACTTCAAATTTGGAACACAACTTATTTAGACATATGGCTTTAATTTTATAGCAATTTTGGATTAAAAACTTTGTAAAATAAAATTTTTGTAAAATATGTATTTTATATAAAATATAATAAAAATAGTACAGTACATTTTCTTTACAGTAAATATAAACTTCTATAACTTTTTTATACTTTCATTTTTTGAAATGATTTCACTTCTGCAATAATCTGCTGATTGTCTTCTTTAGAAAGAGACCAACCTTAGGTCTGTATTCAAAAGTGTTCATGAATTATAACAATTAGTTTGAAAAGTGCACTTTCACATCTATGTTCGGGGGGGGGAGTGACAGTGAATAATGCAGCATAACAGATCTAAAAATTCTTAACAGATAAAGTTGTTTTTTTTACGTATTTTTGGGATCTCAGTGATTATCAGATGATATCTGACCTTCTAATACAAAAAAAACCCCTCACTTGGTGAGAGCAACATATGTGGGATTTTGTGCTTGTTCAGCATTGCTGTTTTTATAGAATCAAACTGTTCTAAATTTCTCACAGTAAATTTAAAATCACTGATGCCAACAGATTTCAGAAAGTGTGTCCAAATACCGTGTGACTAATGAGTGACAAAATGACAAAACATTCATGATTCATTTTTTTTTGTTTCCCCTTCAGTACAAGAAGATGGACAGCAATCTTGAGAAGCTGAGAAAGAGGATATTTGAGATCATCAATTACATAAATAATGTGAGTCAGTGACGACGTATATGCTATTAAAAAATTCCAGCATGCCAACATTTATGGATCATACAGGATATTACAACTAGGACCTGTGATAACAAGGATTCTTGAGTGTGATAATTAATCACATGACTAGATCTATGCCATCTACAGATCTTCTGATGAGTACTGGTTTAGTACTTTAGTTAAAACTATTGATGGTGACCAAATATGTTTTTGTCACACTAGTACAAAACGTATATACAGTGGAGTCCAAAAAAAACCCCTCTGATTTAAACTCCATATTAAAGCTTGATTCAAAAGTGATTTAAAACAAAGGAACATAATGGCATAAAATTAGTAAAAAACATTTAAGATTCTGCATTTCTATAGGTTCTAGATTTATCAAATTTGTGACAAAGCCAATGACATCCTTGCTTCCACTGAAGCACACAAGATGCAAATCCTGCTGAATAACATGGCTCAAATTTTTCCACAAGCTCGCGAGTCAGTTTCATCCAAAAGGAGGGCATACAAAATACCAATCGTAACAACCTGTGATGGATAGAGTAGGTCCCTCTATTGTATGTCAATTTAAAAAAAAAGTGTACTAAATGCATAGATGTACTATTTCTGTATTTGAGGAAATTCAAAAAAATTATGTTGATTTTTTTACTTAATTTTTAATATAATTTGTCATTTAAAAAGGTATTCAATCAGAAAAAAAGTTGCTAATGGTTTCAGACTTTTGGACCCCACTGTACACAATATACGAAGAGTTCATTTGCAAAAACCGATAACTCCATTTTTAGTTTTTTTCAGAAATCACGTTTTTTTTTTATTGTGCATTCCAAGTAATATCAATCAAACTGCAGTTGGGTTGTTTTGATTAAGTAATAATAACTTAAACAAATACAGGTAATTTACAAAATTAAAGCAGCAGTCCGTAACTTTTTTTGGTTAAAAATGATCCAAAATCAATATTTGAGCAAGTACATAACCAGCCAGTGTTCAAAACTATCACCTTCCTTTAGGCGGATTCACAACTGTTAGCTTATAATAATGTTTTCTAATTTGAGTGGTACGGGTAGGTTTTTCGCGGGAAATTCGAGCATGCTGCCACGTCATTACGTCACGTCTGTAAACATAAAGAAGTTGTCCTGGCCACTAGGCTATATCGCATGTGATTGAGGATCTTGCAGGTGGCCGATCGTTTATAGCCTTTTCTCACAGCAGCTAGAATAATTAAATGTATCATTTTGATGGTGTATTGTAATCCAGAAATGATTGTGCAAATGAAACACATGTGAATGAAATTAAATTATATTCCAGTTTTAAATGTGCTTCTGATTACAGATAGCC